ATTGATGTTTTGCTGATCTATTTTCCGGGCTTTGCGATTCCAGCTGCTTATAATAACAGAATGTTGGCTTAGAAGAGGCTTGGAGCTGGTCCTACAGGTTGCCACGGTTTTGATGCTGTGCTTTGCTCTGTGGAAAGTGAAAATACCGTAGGTGTGTTCTTCTTTTTAACATTTTTCACTTCTGGGGTTATATTTAGGAAAGGTGTATGCCGTGCGTATTCATTTTATACTTTTCACCAAAAAAAAAACACACACACACACACACACACACACACACAAAAAAAAGCCCTTGGGTAATTTCACTTTTTAACTGAGCAAATGTTCAAAGGACTTTTAATGTGGGCTGGTTCCAACATCCCAAATTTATTAATTTTTTTTGATCCCTCAAAATAACTGGGTGTGTACCAGTCTCTACCTTGCAAGAAACAGCTTGCCTTTTCCAGTGTAATGTTGACGTTACCTTTTGCCAGGGAAATGCTTCAGAGAGATGCTGACACGCACACACGCCCTGCATGTACAGGGGTGGTTAATTAAGTAGGGAAGAGGGGGGGGGAGAACCGGTAGCATTCGGTTCATACATGCCTTAAGGGGAAAAAAATAATAAAAAAAAGAGCAAGGTTTCCATTGGAGACGAACTGTGCTGCTTAGGGAATAGAATAGAATAGAATAGAATAGAATAGAATAGAATAGAATAGAATAGAATAGAATAGAATAGAATAGAATAGAATAACAGAGTTGGAAGGGACCCTGGAGGTCTTCTAGTCCAGCCCCCTGCTTAGGCAGAAAACCCTACACCCTTTCAGACAAATGGTTGTCCAGTTTCTTCTTAAAAACTTCCAGTGTTGGAGCATTCACAACTTCTGGAGGCAAGTTGTTCCACTGGTTAATTGTTCTAACTGTCAGGAAAATTATAACGTTATTATAAATAAAATACTGATGAATAAACCTGAGCATTTCTATACCTTTCAAAGTATTCAGCACCAGAATACAGGCAATCCTTGACTTATTTAGTGACTGTTTGACACTAAGAAGGACTTCCCTTCAAGAAGCTTCTTTAGTTCTAGAACTGAGCTACAACTAAAACTGTTCAACTAGAACTGAAGAAGCTTCTTGGATGAAAAGTGAAATGTCTTCAGGGGAAAAAACAAAGTTGTCTTTTGAAAAAAAAACCCTTTGGGAGAATGAGGGATATGCTTGACAAATTGTGCTCAAGTACTCTTGTTTTCACCATGGTTGTCTTTACAACACATCACATCTCATTTGGTTTCTTTGGCTGATCTTAGACTTTCACCCAATTTTACATCTCTACAACTGTTTTCACGAAGGAGTATTGTCAAAGAGGTGAATGTAGAGAGTAGTGTCAGGTTTTTGTGAGTAACCTGTTCTTCAGTGGCTCTTATTTCTCCAGATTTCAAGGAATGATTGATAGCCATGGATTTAAAACAGCATCCTTGAAAATTGCCACTTGACGAATGATGGACAAGTGAACCAAGAGCCAACAGCATTGGTATAGGAGTTGCGTCATTCGAATATGTTCGGATAAATGTATGTGTGTGCTTGTACATTTCGTATCAAATATTTCTTGTGCTGAAAGTATTTGCTAGCAAGGAGCCCATTAATCAACTTGGTTTTCCTGTTTTGCCAGCAGCAACTTAATATTAAAGCAAGCGAAACTGTTTTTAAGATTTTGCTTCAAAAACAAGCTATACCAATTTGATCATAATTTAATTAAAAAGTAAATGATTTATCTGCCTGGGCAAGGAACCAAATTGTTATGAGTGTAGTAAGGATTAACTCCTTGCTTTCATAACAAGTTTGAGGAGAATTTCTGCCAGTCTGAAATACATATTTCCAACTGGTGTTGTTTCCTCAGCACTGTGTGTTTCGAAATGCCATGGTTGCCATCTTCTCTAGCATTGTGTCACAAAGGGATGCTGAAACCAGCAAGGTGTTGTCTTAATGTCTGTTTCTGTAAGGAAGATTCCACTGACTTTGGGGTCACAATAGCTCAAGGCTGGGTACCATTTGACAAAGGTCACAAAATCTGCTCAACCAAATGGGATGTGTGAGCCTATTGTGTGAACTCAATGAGGGGAACCGAGTGTGTCTTGGCGTGCAGAAATGTCAAGATGATGACTACACTGCATGATTGACACCCTGCCCCATTTTAATATGTGTGTGGCATGCAAAACGGCAGAGATTTTTATAACACTGTCTTTACTTTTTTTGATCCTCTGTTAATAACCAGCCAGATATGTTGACATGGACTGCAGAGGCCCCTGGAGTGTAATGTGAACTCAAATATATTTAGAGCTATATTTTATCACACTTCTGAACTCAGGTAGAGTTAGATTTCTCTCACCTTGTTGTATAGGGGGAAAAAACCCAAAATGGGTTAATCCAGAGGTATCCAGCCTTGGCAACTTTAAGAGTTGTGGACTTCAACTCCCAGAATTCCCCAGCTAGCAGGAACATGGCTTTTGAAGGTGACTGAGGATTCCTCTACCCTCTGAAAACAGAGCATTGAGTTGGGCGGGATGTCATTGTTGTCATTCAGCGAGTTTCAGACTATTTCCTTGTTTTTTGGAGGAGCTTGTTAGCTGCTCAGAATCACTGCAATCAGAAAGGTATACAAGTTGGAATAATCACCATTTGATGGCAAGTGTTCAGGGACAACATTTTGGGGGGCAAAACAGACTTGAAATTGTGCTTTTTGTGCCTGATGGCAGGAATAGGTAACTGAAGGACTTGGCTTCCAACCCTAGTACCCCCAGACCCCATCACAAATGGTGAGGGACTGAGGGCTGTGTTGCTAGGTTAGGTACTTGTGTAGTTGTATTTCTGGAGGACAGGAGCTGAAACCAGCCAGTCCGACAAAAGCCCTAACATGTTTCTATGGGTTCTGCACACATCTGTACACATGTATGAAAGAAGCAAGAGCTTGTTGTATGTTGCTGTCTAAAAGCAGATGGAGATGTGGAAGCCCTTGGTGGAACCCAACTGTTGAAGACGATGCTAATCTTTCCTCCCAACAGAAGCTCCTGGAGGACAGGCTGAGGTTCTCCTGCTCCAGCTGAAGGCCTTGGAAGTCAATGGAAGGGGGATGGTGTCCACTACCCTGGCCAATAAGAGAAGGTCCCAGAGAAGGAGACTTTTCCAACTCAACCAAGGCTGCTTGTCTTAGCAAACGGTAGGGCCTCAGTGACCTGGGAAGTTCACTTTTGGGTTACTTTTCAGACAGGAGATCTCCAGAAAATTCTACAGAATCTGAAAATTTAATTTAATTTAATATTTAAATTTATATACCACCCTTCTCCCGAGGGACTCAGGGTGGTGAAAATGCATCCAGGATGGCGCAATAGCCAGGACAAAAAGCCACACTTGTCTTCCACGTCAGTAGGAGCCAACCTTGACTTGAAAGAAACTTGTTAAAAAGTTCCATATCTCAGAGCTATCAGTGTTCAGCAGTTCCAGAAGTCCCGATTAAACACTCTCATTTATTAAACAATCTGTTTACTATGCAAAGCGAGCATGGCTGGAGGCAAAGTGCAATTATTACAAGATAACACTTGTGGGGAAGAAAAAGCTTGACAAGTGTATTAAAGTGTATCAGATGTAGAGATTTCAGTGCAAAATACAGAAGCATCGACTTGTTCCAGATAGCAGCAGATACAACTGCTGCTGAGGAGGGACTTGGCACCATTTATCCTCCGGAGACACAGCAGGAAGCCAAGAGATAACCCCAGTGCTTCATTCCTTTCCCGCTGACTTGTACCCGGAGAGAAATTCTGAGTTTTCCTACCTGCGACTCAAGAAACAGAAGCTTTCTGACCTCCCCAGGTTCTTATTTTGCGCTAAAATTGAGGAGGGGGTTTCCTGGTGCTGCGGAGAGGAAGATGGCTACCTTGGGCGGCCTCCACAGAAAATACTTCTGCACCCCAACAAAAAAAGAGCTCTGTCTTGTAAAAAAAATGCCCTCCCCTTGTCTCAAAAGGGTTGATTTGAAAAATGATAAGGAATTACGAGGGGAAAGGTTTGGAAATAAGAATAACGGAATAACAGAGTTGGAAGGAACCTTGGGGGTCTTCTAGTCCAACCCCCTGCTCAGGCAGGAAACCCTACACCACTTCAGACAAAGGGTTGTCCAATCTCTTCTTAAAAACTTCCAGTGTCGGACATTCACAACTTCTGGAGGCAAGTAGTTCCACTGGTTAATTGTTCTCACTGTCAGGAATTTTCTCCTTAGTTCTAGGTTGCTTCTCTCCTTGATGAGGTTCCACCCATTGCTTCTTGTCCTGCCTTCAGGTGCTCTGGAGAACAGCTTGACTCCCTCTTCTTTGGGGCAGCCCCTCAAATACTGGAAGACTGCTATCATGTCTCCCCAGGTCCTTCTTTTCACTAAACTAGACATACCCAGTTCCTGCAACTGTTCTTCATATGTTTTAGCCTCCAATCCCCTCATCATCTTGGTTGCTCTTCTCTGCACTCTTTCTAGAGTCATATTTGAAGCTTTGCATCTATTTATACCAGCATTTCTCAAGCTTGTCAACTTTAAAATGGGTGGACTTCAACTCCCAGAATTCCCCAGCCATGAAATTTGGGGCCCTTTTATGTCTTTGAATGGTTGCTAAACAAATGCTTGTAAATCGACAACTACCTGTATCCTTTTCCAGCTTTGAACACAGGGGTTCCTCACAATCACAATTGAGCCCAAAATTTCTGTCGCTAAGCAAGACAGTTAAGTGAGTTGTGCCCCGTTTTATGACTGTTCTTGCCTCAGTTGTTAAGTGAATTAGTGCAGTTGTTAAGTTAGTAACACGCGTCTGAATTTTGATCCCATGACCCTGGGGAGGCTGCAATAGCCATGTGGAAAATGGTATAAATCCCTTTTTTCAATGCCATTGTAACTTTGAGCAGTCACTAAACAAACAGTTGCCAATCCAGGACATATAAAATCTTAAAAGATTCACTCATAAATTAAAGGCAGGTGTGACAATAAATTACGTTTAACTTTTTATTATTATTATTTTGGGGCCAGGTAAGCAAAAACAGAATAAGTTTTCTTTTCTTTTTTGTTTCACATCTTCTAAAAAGTTCAAAAGCCATACAGAAGCTGTAAGACACCGAACTGGGAAAATGTTCCCCCAAATGTCACAATTTGCAAACTTCTTGACTGCAACGTGGACAAGAATAAAGGTTGAAAGAAACATCCAAGTTTTCAAACCCTGGCTTTAAAATTATATAAGAAATATACCTTTGTAAAATTTTTCATAAATATATTATATATGAATATATAATATATTTCAGGTAATTAATGAACTCGGGCTGGGAGAGCAATTTTCAAATGTTTGGAATGTACAAAACTAACAGGCATTGTAAGAAAATAGCACATTTTTTTTATTCCACCCCCAAAAGTATGTGTCTATAGAAATCTATTTTTCAAAAACCGTTTTGAAGCTTCATTTCAACTATTTTGAAACCATCTTGTGGTATTGCAAAAATATGCTGAATATTGATCTGGAATGTTGTGAATGAACCCAATCAATGCCAGTCTTTCCGGTAAACCAGACCGAAAATTCAGCTAAAGGAGCTAATTCTATTTTACTGTAAAGTTTCCCACCTGCAGTTTTAACCACCTGATCAATGAAAGCGAGCCCTTCCACAATTTATTTCTCTAACCGTTTGGGAGCAATTTCTAAGCAAGAAGCTCTTATTTATTACTTTTATTTATTTATTTATTTATTAAATTTCTGTGCTGCCCATTCTCCTCATAAGGTGACTCTGGGTGGCTAACAGATTATAATAAAAGATAAATAGAAATTAAAATATTAAAACTATGCAAATTAAAAAGTTTAAAACTACACAAACTTCCTAGGGAGATTCTCAATCATCCGGGTCATGGTTGTCTTTAGGAACTCAAGAAGCTTCTTAGGTGAGAAGCGAAGCACCTTCAGGGAAAAACAAAAGTTCAGTTGCCTTTTGAAATATCACCTTTGGGATATACAAACGTCCCCAAGGACACCTGTCCTTTCCATTACAAATGGGGCTCACCTTCCTTGTGTCCAACTTCCTCCTTAATCTTAGTTCCAAAACTGGAACCCTGGTCTCACTCCATTTTATATATCCCCGTTTTTTACTTCCTTATTCAACAGGCATGTCCCTTGGTCTAGTCCCGCGATGGCGAACCTATGGCACGGGTGCCACAGGTGGCACACGGAGCCGTATCTGTGGGCACGCAAGCATTGCCCTACCTCAGTCCAGCACACATGTGCGCGCTGGCCAGCTGATTTTTGGGCCTTCCGGGCCCATCGGAAGTCGGGAAACGGGCTGTTTCCAGGCCTCCGGAGGGCCTCCGGGGGAGTGGGGAAGGCTGTTTTTGCTCTCCCCAGGCTCCTAGAAAGGCTCTGGAGCCTGGGGAGGGCAAAAAAAATGGTCCTACCAGGCCCACCGTGCCATCGTGTGCCAAAAGCGGGGGGAGAACGGGGGGTGTCATGCCCCCCTTTTTTGGGGCGACGCGGCGCATTGAATTATGGGTGTGGTCATGGGTGTGCACAATCCCCCCCACTACCCCCACTTTTGGCACACGACGGCAAAAAGGTTAGCCATCACTGGTCTAGTCAGTCCATCACTTTGGGGTCAGCTCTGGACTTGATGGGTTCCATGGAGTCATCTTCAAAATTGATGCGTAGCAGAATCACCATCTTCCGTTCACTTGTGGTGGTTCTGCAGACCTTGGAGGACATCCATTTCCTTGTGCAGGGGAACATCTGCCTCCTTGCTTTGAGACCTAAGCTGGCCACTATATGCCCACCCACCCAAATTAAAGGCTCAACCTCTTGAACCGGGAATCTGTTCTGTTTCCCCTGAGCTACTGGCAAAAACAACTCTTTGCAAAATTGCTGACTTGCTTCCATTTCATTTTTCACAACTCTGGGGGCTTTTCAGTGCAAGAAAGGAATGATGGAGAGGAAGCTGGGAAGCTTATGGTGGACTTCCGTGCTTTTGTTGATTTTTCAGTCTTTAACAATGAACTTCCCCGTCTGGCTTCCCCCTGCACAATAACCTCTCCTATTGGAGTTTAGCAAGCTACCCAACACACCTCAACAGATGGAATGAAAAAATACGGAGGAGAGCTGTAGATGCTCTCCTCTTAATGTGAAACAGGGAGGAAGGCTTTTTGACCAGTGATAGATCAGGAAGTTGGGAATTGATTGGATTATGTCCTTTGCATTCTCCTAAGGGTCAACTAGAGGAAAAGACAGGAGGGCTCCCTGCATTTTCATGTTTTGGGACCAGCAGGAATGGAAACCAGCTTTCCGTTTCAAATTGTTATGGGAGGCACTGGAACTGCTCCCGAGGAATCTAAAAAAATCTTGCAACAACTCACAAAAATGCTCTCAAGGTATCTAGAGAGTTTTGACCGACTTATCCACAAAACCCAACATTTTCCCAAGCAACATGTGAGGTTCAAAGTCTATCTACAACCATCAGAACTCTCTCTACATATATTTTGAGTTATTATTTTGTTTGGATCCTTTTCTCTACCGTAAAAATGCAAATGGGAACACACACATGTAGTGGATTAGTCATTTGCAGTCAACATTCAGCTCTGCCACATATTTGATATTTTTTCAACCATGAAGAACACCTTCATTCAAAGAAAAAAAAACCCTGGAAAAAAATCCATCTTAATGCAGAGGCAAAAGTGATGAAAGATTTCTTAGCTCTCACAGAGATGGAAAAGGGATTATTTCGGCTGTCAAATGTTTGGATTTAATATTAACATATTACAGAATGTATGTCCTGATAATAGTTGCAACTCAGGAAAAAGCAGTAATTTTTTTTGTTTTTTGTTTTTTTATGAAGAAAAATTAGTATTAAAGTAATGTGTTGAAGGACTATACAGCTATACATTTTTCTAAGATTTCTCAGGAATTCAGAAAAACAATCTTGAATAATCTTCCTCTATTTTTAATAAGTTAAAATCCTTAAATCTGATGAAAAAATTAAATGTATACATTAATGAACATATGTTAATATCTATAAATAATTTTACAAATATACATGTTAAAATATAAATTTTTAAAACAAAACAAGCTGACAAGATAAAAGAAAACCTTTGCCTAAATCAGTATGTCCTACTCTGGAGGAATTCTTAACTGGAATAAATTCCTCTTCAGTCTTGTCAGCCATGTTAATATCGGAGATATTATATACACACAAGAGCTATTTATAGATATATGCACAATTGTAGGAAATAAAACTTTGCGATTCGTTGAAAGGCGTTCGACTATGGGGTACCCGTAATATCTTTTTTTCTCTCTCTCCAAGTGTTTGATAACAGATTTCTGGGAAAAATTTATGGACCTCCATTACAAATATATTTAAACTTTATCTACAAAAAAACTCACCCAGAAAATAGCTAAATAAATGTAGCAAATAGCAGAATTTCCGTTTGATGCACATTACAGTTCATAGAAATCCCCTGGAAAAATTAGCCAAAGTCACTGCTACATGCTCATTAACAAATGACACACGCGCACACCCCAACACAAACACACACACACACACACACACAATTTTCTAGAGCTTGCAACACCTCCAGACCTTCACGTCTCGTCTTGCCTGCACACACTCACTTATCCAGCCGTTACGGCAAGAGGCGGCGTACTTCCCACCGTGAGAAAAATGAAGGCAACTTTGAAAGAGGTTTAATGCTTTCGAGAGTGATTAACTCCTCAGAATGGCTTTGAATGAGTCCTTAAGTAGATGGCTTCGTTTTATATTTATTAAATATAAAACCAGTACTTACTTAAGATTCCCTGCAGGCAACGTGGCTACGGAGCCCTACCAAAGGAGAGTTGTGTACGGATTGCACGAGGGCAACATTTCCTACATTCTTCGCACATGGGGGTTGTTGTTTTTGTCATTTTCCCACCCACTCCTAGAATTTGCAGGCACAGAAAACGGACTCGAAGGCCGGAGGTTCCCCATCCTCTCCTTTGCCTTTCAAGGTTTCCGAGTGTTTGACAAGAAAAGTAGGAAGAAAGTACGTCCTGTGTGCCATGGCTTCACGGCAACGCAGGCCTCCGTGCCGTGGAGCAGAAAAAGGCATCTTCCTCCTCAGGATCTTGTTCCAAAGCTCCCCTCAGACGTACATTCACGAATCTCGTTTTTGAGGCTCAGTGTCTGTCATCATGTCTTGATGATGCCGTTGGCCTGCTGTTTTGGAAGGCAAGGCTCCTCTGAGAGCAGCTCGTGTGCAAATACGGAGTCATCTCCTGAAGAGCAGGCACTGTGGGTGTCGTGGCCTTTGGGGGAGTATTGCTCGAAGGCCACGGACAGGTCGATGTATTCCTGTGAGGAGGAGAACAACAGCATGAATATCAGCACGAAGCGCACACTACAAGTTCCTCATCTCAAGGACACCTTCTTCTTTTATTTTCTTGGGCAAGAACTGAAATTCTACCTCCAATGAGTGAAACCTTCTGCTCTCCACACGCTAAGGGCTGCCCTGCTTTCAAGAATCCAGCTGTGGTTTAATGTCAGCTTGGTAGGACTCAAAGTAGGATTCAAAGTAGCAGTCCAAAGGCATTATGGAGGTCCATCCATGGTCCTTACCGAGCTGAGGCAATTATTCCATTAAACAGCCATGGCGCAACCACAGACACAGTTCCTCCTACATAACCCTGTCCAACTATTGAATCCCCACTCATGGGCACCTATTTGGAGAAAGCTCACCTCCACCTTGGAGTGGAAACACAGCTTGTTCGGTTGTGGTATTAGGACTGTGGGACACATTCTCTAGTAGGTTTGGTTTAGGATATCTGAAATAGTTTACAAAGGATGCTCAATTCTTTCTGGGATTTGGGCACTTTTGCTATTGTTAGACAGACTTTTTTGTCCCTGTAATTCTTTTCTACTGACCGTCTTTTTTTATTATTATTATTGAAAATGCACTGTTTTTAAAATTCTGCCTGAGGAACAGAGAGGCACGTTAAACTGTTCCAAACAAAGAAACTGAATGACATTAATAGTTGCATTAAAGTCAAATGCCCTCTCATGTGCCACTGGACTGCAGCCTCTCCCCTTAACTGCTCACTGTAGCTCTCCATGCTCTTAAAATGGTTGCAAAGCTCAAAAATGCTCAAGAATCTGATCTCCGAGTAGGGGGGTGAGGGGCACAAGAGCTCTCCTGAGGAAGAAAGGAGGAGATACGCACATCCGTGGAGGTCACCGTCAGCACTCGGTCCAGGTCTTCTACCAGCTGCTTAAAAGTTGGCCGCTGAGAAGGAACCGCATGCCAGCACTCCCGCATGATCATGTACCTGGGCAAGAGAAGGGGCTGATCAGCACCCCTGATGGAAGGACCCTGGAGAGCCCACAAGCTTTCCCTCAGCACAGCCGAGAAAGGCCGGCAAGACTTTTGACGGCTGCCCATGTTTTCTACACAGCTACACTCCAAAAACAAAACCAACTGACTTCAAATAAGTCAGAGGTCAAGGGTCACGCAAGAATAGTTTTTAGATTTATAACCCATATTGGTGGCAGGAAAGTTCAAGGGAGCATTCACGTTGGTCCTGCTTCTTGTTTTTCCTCCTTAGGTGGGCTGGACTGAGAGAGAGGGAGAGAAGGAGAGAGAAGGAGAGGGAGAGAGGGAAAAGAGAAAGACAGAAGGCAAGAAGGCAAGAGGGAGAGAAGGAGAGGGAGAGAGGGAGAGTGTGTCACTTCTGGATGAGCGTGAATCTGGATCTTCTTACTCTTAGCCCACCGTTCCTCCATTATTCCCCACTGCCCCTGGGGCTGAGAAGGAGGGATTGGCCCACACTCTGAGCAACAGGGTGGGGTTAGAGCTGATCACGAGGGTCTTCCAGAAATACCCCCAACTCTGCAATTATCAAGGTCTCCCAGAGTGATGGTATTGCTGTGGCTGTCCTGAAGCAGGACCTTTAACACCTGAGGAAAGCCCACTGAAGGGCTGGCCAAGAGCTTCCATGCTTCGCCACCGAATCTCAGATGGGTCTAACAGGCTGCCTAGAAACTTTTTTTTTTTTTTTAAATTTGATTTATATGCCGCCCTTCTCCGAAGACTCAGGGCGGCTTACAATGTGCTCAGCAATAGCCTTCATCCTTTTTGTATATTTATACAAAGTCAGCTTATTGCCCCCACAACTGGGTCCTCATTTCACCTACCTTAGAAAGGATGGAAGGCTGAGTCAACCTTGAGCCTTGGCGAGATTCGAACCCTGCAGTAATTGCAGGCAGCTGGTCTTAATAACCAGCTTAATAACAGGGTGCCTTAAACCCCTGTACTACCAAGGCTCTTGACCGAAACCTTTTGGCAGCTTTAATGGGCTGCGTCCTCATCTAGCTGTAGAGATGGAATAGAAAGAGCCCATTTGGGATAAAACTGAACTTGGGTTGGGCTTTTTTGGAGACCAGTCCCGACCTGGGGGAATGGGCTTAAAGCATCCAAAGACCATTCTGATGATGAGAAGACACTTGGTTGAGTTTTGGGTGGCTATAGAAAAGAAGGAAGGAAGGAAGGAAGGAAGGAAGGAAGGAAGGAAGGAAGGAAGGAAGGAAGGAAGGAAGGAAGGAAGGAAGTTATGAACAGAAAATAGAGAGGTGAAGCAACTGAATTAACAGGAATCCATCCTGACAGATGGAAAGACAAGCTTCCCCAACGCATGATATTCTCAAGTAGAAAACTTACAAATCTGGGGTACAATTTGCAGGCTTGTCCATTCGGTGGCCTTCCTTTAACAGTTTGAAGAGTTCCTCCACTGGGATTCCTGGATAAGGAGACCCTCCTAAAGTGAAGATCTCCCACAGCAGCACCCCAAATGACCACCTGAAAGCACCAACGTTGAAAAATCCAGTGAAAATTTGGGAGCAAAAAAGAGAGAAGAAATTAAGATGTATTCCCTCCCCCCACCACTACGAAGCCATGTAAAGTAACTTGTCACCAATAGCTTGATGACTGAACTTATCCAATGACTGAATCATATTTGTTTTTTCAAACCAAACACTGGCCAATCTGTTGATCCAGCTGAACCGAATCCCGAATTAGATAAGCAGTTAAATAGATACAGCTCCTCTCTTTGATCTTTGTGGAAGCCTCCACAGAGGCCAATGAATGGAACAAGCCCGTTTATTCATGGATTTCGGGATATCTTCTCTGCATGGCATCACAACGCTTTCCCTGAATGGGTGTTTTGTTCCTTTTTTATTTGAAAACTGTGGGTATTGCTTACACATCACTCTGATGAGTGTAGACACGGTCGAACAATGCTTCGGGAGCCATCCATTTCACCGGCAGCCGGCCCTGGCATCAGGGACATGAAAACAGAATATTATCCATCAGCAATTCTTGTGTCTTACTGCTGTCACCACCATCTGATCCCCTCTGCTACAAGCGAGTCCAAATAATGTTTAATCAACATAATCCCAATTCATCTAATCATTGTGAAGACGCTGATCATCTACCTGACCCACCATCCAGAGTTAATGTATGTGGTGCCACCTTCTTCCCATAAAGGAGAATATTTGTAGCCCAGGGTTGAAATGAGGGTCCCACTGATGCTCTCTGAGCTTGGTTGTTTTCTTGCAGATGTTTCATTATCTAGTTCAGAGGTCTTCAAACTTGGCAGCTTTAAGACTTGTGGACTTCAACTCCCAAAATTCTCCAGCCAACTATGCTGGAGTTGAAGTCCACAAGACTTAAAACTGCCAAGTTTGAAGACCTCTGATCTAGTTTGTTCCAAAGGTGTTTCACTTTTCATCCAAGAAGCTTCTTCAGTTCTGAAGAAGTGAAGAAGCTTCTTGAATGAGAAGAAAAAGTTCGTCAAGGAAAAACAGAATACAGCCATCTTTTGAAAAAGGACCTTTTGGGACAACCATGACCTGGATGACTGAGAATCTCCACAGACAATGATCTAGTTTGGGTAATGGAACATCTGCAAGAAAACAGCCAAGCTCAGCCAACACCCCTCACAACCTTCTCCCTTGTAAGTTTCAAGTTTATTAGATTTCTATACCGCCCTTCTCCCGAAGGACTCAGGGCGGTGTACAGCCATATTAAAACACATAGATTTATAAAATTTAAAACCAATTAAAATCGAGTACAAAAATTTTGGCCCGCGAATTAAAAACACACATACACCCATTTTAAAATTCGTACTAGGCTAGTCTGGCTTGCTGGAACAGGAGGGTCTTAAGATAAACACAAGATTGGTTGCAAGGTCAATTGACCTATTTTCTTCCCATCTGTCTTTCTTCTGGCCTGTCCTCTTACCAAACTCCAAATCTTTTACTCGTCCCTAACGTATGTGCTGTCACGGCTTTATTTGACAAATAAGGTAGGCTCTTGTGACAAAAATCAGTTGATTGCATTCAGACAAAGTATTGTAAGCCTTGGTGTGTATATATATATATATATATATATATATATATATATATAATTATTCTTATAAGAAGGTAGATTTACGGAGCAGAGCAGAAATATTCTCTGGGCTGCTGGATCCAGATCCAGCTGGAAATGCTGACACATCATGAAATCTCCTGCCTAAAGTGAAAAGCCAAGCAGATTTCATCAACAATCTGGTACTGTAATCTATCTAATCTCACCCAAACTTTTAACAAATCTACGATAAAAGGAGATAAGATGAATATTCCATAACAATTAGAAAGACTTTCCCTCAGAATAAGAAGCTCTAGTTAGTATGATTTCAGGGATTTTTGATCAATGAATGATTTGTTTATTGAATGATTTAAATAAATAAAACTATTCTGGAGCTATCCAATTTACCCTTCCTTGGCTAGGGATTCTGGGAGTCGCCATTCCAGCACATCTGGATGGCCAATGATTGTCCCTTCTCTCTTTTTTTAAGAAACTTTCCACTTACATTAGTTGTTTTTTTGTAATAATCGATGTTGTGAACATCTCTGGCTAGGCCAAAGTCAGCTATCTTCATCACGTTGTCTTCCGTGACTAGAACATTTCTGGCAGCCAGATCCCGGTGAATACACTGCAAAGAAATAGTTTATAAAAAAACCAAAGTTGAATCAATAAACAGCTCTATTCTTCGTTAGAGCCTTGGTAGTACAGTGGTCTAAAGCACCCTGTTATTAAGACCAGCTGCCTGCAATTACTGCAGGTTCGAATCTCACCAGGCTCAAGGTTGACTCAGCCTTCCATCCTTTCTAAGGTAGGTAAAATGAGGACCCAGTTTGTGGGGGCAATAAGCTGACTTTGTATAAATATACAAAAGAATGAAGGCTATTGCTTAGCGCATTGTAAGCCGCCCTGAGTCTCCGGAGAAGGGTGGCATATAAATCAAAATTAAAAAAAAATAAAATAAAAAAATTACAAATCTGAAAAATAAATCTTTTTAATTCCTTGTACCTTGGTTGTAGCAACACCGAGACTCTCAATTCAGTAGAAACTCCTTATATCTTGTTTGTAACTACATTAAGTCTTCTCTTACAACAATTCATTTAGTGACAGTTGAAAGTTACAACAGCACTGGAAAAAGTTATGACCGTTTTCCACGTGACCATTGCCCAGGGTCATGTGATCCAAATTCAGGCGTTTGACCACTGACTCATACTTATGACGGCCGCAGTGTCCCTGGGTCACGTGATCCCCTTTTGTGACCTTCTGACAAGCAAAGTCAGTGGGGAAGCCAGATTCACTTAACAACCACGTTACTCGTTTAACGACTGCACTGATTCACTTAACAACCCTGGCAAGAAAACGTGAAAAAATGTGGCAAAACTCAGTTAGCAACGGTTTCCCTTAGCAACAAAAACTTTGGGTTCAGTTGTGGTCATACTTCAAGGAGTACCTGTACGCATAAAGGCATATCATAGAGGTCACTAAAACATTAAATTTCCTTTGTCGGAGATACGTTAAAAAAAAACCCTGAAGCTTCCTGGTTCCATCTGATTTGATCTCTGAATTACTGGATTTTGCAGGCAGGAATAACATTTTATTACGCAAGAAGATTTACAGGGAAGTCCCTCAATGTTAAAGATGTTGTGGTTATGTTGAATTATATTCCAAAACTCTGGAATCTGACCATCTTTGAGGGATGATGGTTATGCTCGGATTGGGGCACTGCCTAAAGAATTATTTTGAGAAACAGGAGGCAGGTAATGAATGGATCTGTTTCTTTAAAAGGCCATTTCCCCACTAAACAGAAAACGAAGCAATATGTTTCCCGTTGACCCAGATTTCACAATATTTTACAATAGAGAAAATTGACAATAAAGGGTATTATTTTTCTGTATAGCTTTATGATATATAAGCGATATATTTAAATCCTTAGTCATTTCTTTTGAGCTTCTTTCTTTCTTTCTTTTCTGTTTATATTTTTCTTATAATTAGTCGTTTTCTGCATTTTCATTGTTGTGGATTTTTAAAAATTCAATTGCCAACATCAAGGACTCTTGCTCGAATCCCCCCGTATTATGAAAGGGGCAATCCCACTTTGCTTATGAATCAGATCAAGAGGCCCAAGGCAGCTCCTGAAGATCCCATTAGGGGGAAGCCTCTAATGCCAGTGAACCCATTAACAGTCCTTCACTCTCGTTAAACTTACCTGTCTCCAGGATTTGTTCTTTACTTCCATGCAGGTAGTCCTCGATTTACGATGGCCTTGGGACTAGAATTCCCGTCACTATGTGATGCAGTTTTTAAGTACAACTGCATCATTAGGCAATGGCAATTCTGCAGTCCTGGTTGCCATTGTTACCCAAATCCCACCGTCACAAGGCGAGGCGACTTCCTGCCGGCTTTCCACAACTCAAATCGATGGGGAAGCCAGCAAGAAGTTACAAGTCCCAGGCTGGGAGGCAGGTAAAGGTGGGGGAGGGAGGGAGGAAGGAAGGGGGTGCACGAGGCGTGGCATGGATCAGAGAGGGCGAGAGGTTTGGGGCAGGTCAGGCATGGGTGGTGAGGCACAGCGTGGGTGGGAGAGGGTGTTCAAGGCGCAGGTCAGGGAGGGTGTGAGAGGTGTGTGCGAGGGACAGTGTGAGGGTGTGTGTAAGCTGTGGGTTGGTGGGATACACAAAGAGGTGCACCACAGGTGAGGGAGGGTGCATGAGGCATGGCGCAGGCTGGGGTGGGTGCACAAGAGTGGAAGGTGGCCCAGGACAGGTGTGGTGTGGAGCAGGGAGGGGGCAAACAGGTGTGCGAGTGGCACTAGTGCAGAGGGGCTGCATGAGGATGTCTGGGTGTCTTTCTGGGGAAGCTGGCAGGGAATAGTGACCACGTGGTTGAGAGGTGCTGGCACCGGTTGTACGTGTGAAGTCGTTGCCAAGCATCCAGATGGCATTCATGTTACACAAGGGTGCTGGGAACACCTGTGTAGGCATGCACGTCAACCTCAGTCGGCTGCTCAATTTTGTTTGAGGCCTCTGACCATGAAATTAATTAATTTCGGTTAGTTTTTCATGCTCTCTTCAAGGCACAGTACACTTTGGATCTAGATGTCCCATATTTTGTGCATCCTTTCTCTCAGTTAACCAAAGGAATAAAATTTATCATCTTCAAACCAACTTTTAGCTGTTCCATCTCCAAGAAGAAAGGAACTGTGTACGCTAATTCTCTTCCAAATAAATATCATTTCAGCTTCTCCTACTTCTAGAGTCTATTTATCTCCTCTTCCGTCTGTTATTCTTGTCTTCCTTAATACAACTTGGTGTCTTTGTTTCACGTTCCCCACATAAGCCATCTTCTCTAGTCTCTGGGAGCCTACTTTTCGCAAATGCTTTGCTACTCACCTTTTGAGATGCCAGATACTCCATCCCACGGGCCACCTGGTAGGCGCACGAGACCAAGTCTTTAAAGGTAAGCTGTTCCTCGGGAAGCTTGCAGGTATCAAAGGAATAATCCATGCCAGGTAGCCGACGGGCTCTCAGGTATTCCCTTAAATTCCCCTTGGATGCATATTCCACAAGAACGTAAAGAGGACCTGGAAAAAAACAACCGATGATTGCTTGACATGCCCTCTCATTTCTCTCTTAAATTTCCTGGCAGCTTGCTACTCGTTTTAGGACTGTTGTGTCCTTTCGTTCAGATTCTAGAAGAAAGGACCTTCAGTTCCACCACAGATGCATTAACCTTGGGAGGAAGAGGAGCTGCACCCTAACAATTTAGCAAGGTGACACGGGGTGGGTGAAGATGGGCATGGTTCAAACTACAGACATCAAAGCTGAAGCTGGGAGAATCCGCCATCTTCCAGCCACTCATCAGAAAGGAACCCCGATGCCCACACCGTGGAAGGAACTTCTAAGCAAATGGAGATTTACTGACTAATCCAAGGCCTACTCTTCACGGTTGCCCTGAGGAGGTCTCACTTGAAAGGCCACGTGCGTATTCAGCAGAAATGCCTTCCTGAACACCCACTAAGCTTCCAGTTCAGAGAGTGGAAAATTTGAGCTCATGTGGGAACTTCCACCCATACAGCTCTACCAGTGAGGTTTCCTCATGCAGGTGTTTCTCCAGATTAGAGTGATTTTGAAGAGGCAGAATTTACCTCCTTTGCTTTGAGAAGGACCTCAACAGGAGAAAGCAGAAAGCAAGGACACCGGGGGGGGGGGGGTATCAACAGGCACAAAGAGGCCCAGGCTGAGCAGCCGCCTGACTAACTTTACCCAAAGCTCCACAGCCGTCTGTCTGTTTTAGGAACGTACCGTCCTGCGTGCAGGCTCCCAAGAGATTAATAATATTTTTGTGCTTGCCGATCATCTTCATCATTTCCATTTCTGAGACTAAGTCAGAGAGATCTTTGTCTGTGGCGTCATCTGCAGAAGAGAGGAGAAAAGCAGCAATGAGACGGAAGCATTTCTGTCATGTTCCACACAAATGGCACCCTGATATTTTAGCTTGCAAGTCTACAGCAGCCCCAAGCTTGGTTGTGATTCTGCCCTACTCCTGGTTTTAGGGATCAGGGGCTCTTCCCTCCTCCTTTCCTCCAATTCTGGACAACAAAGGATGTTTCCAAATATACACATCTGATATTTTGCTGGTTTGGCTTCACGTCCAGGCTTGGTCAAGGGAACCATCCAGACGTTCTCCAGAAGTGAGCAGGCTCCTTCTGCTCCAAAGATGGAGTGGGACAGAAGCTCCTATTTTTCTGGAATGGCAGTTCAAGCCAACCCTCCCCATCCCACTTCCTCTCTTAGAATGGGAAGAGAAGCAGTTGAAGGACCGAGAGGTGGAATCAAAGGTGAATTTGGAGCCCACAGTCTGTTGTCTTGGTACAGGCAGTCCTCGACATACAACCACAATTGAGCCCACCATTTCTGTTGATAAGCGAGAGAGTTGTTATCTGATTTGTGCCCCATTTTATGACTTTTGTTGACACTGCGGTTACGTGGTCGTGAAGTGAATCTGACTTTCCCCATTGACTTTGCTTGTTGGAAGCCAGTTGGGAAGGTCACAAACAGTGATCACATGACCCATTGTCATAACTATGAAGCAGTTGCCAAGCATCCAAATTTTGATCACGTGATCACGGGGATGCTGCAACAATCATCAGTATGAAAAATGGTCATAAGTCACTTTATCCAGTACTGCTGTAACTTCGAATGGTCACTAAATGAATGGCTATAAGTCAAGGACTACCTGTATAAAGGCCAGGGAAGAGACCCCTAAAAGCCTGAGATGACCTAAAGCAGACGTCAGTCCATGGAGGCGAAGCATGGGAGGAGAACCAAACCAGGATTAGAAATCAGAAGTGCAAAGAGGCGAGGCTCATGAAAACACCCGTGTCCTTGCACCCGGGGCCTTCGGTACCTTTCAGCATCTTGACGGCTACAGTCACAGGCTTGCTTGGTTTTTCCTTGTCGATCCCCATGGCTTCGGCCATCACCACTTGCCCGAAGCAGCCTTCGCCCAGCGGCTTCCCAAGAGTCAAGCTGAAAAGCAAACCAGTACGGATAAGACTGAGACAGCTGAAGGACCAGGAAGTGGCCCTCTCAAATCCCTGCCTAAATCCAGTTTCCTCACCGAGATCTCGTCAGTTCCCACTTTGGATCTGCCGGCAGCTCCAGCTCGGAGACGTTGGCCAGCATGGCGCCCTCGCTGGAGGAGAGGCGGGTGATCCTCACCAGAGGAGTGTTGGAGTTCATGGATGAGTTGGACTCCAAAGACACCTGCTTGAGTAGAGCAAAGGAGCGGTTACTGGCAACAGCCTCTCGCGGGGGAGGGGGGGGAAGGGGCAGCCCAAGGGACCGAGGGGAGGGGAGGGGAGGGGAGCCTTCGTGAGCCACAGTGCGATTCAGAATGGTTATCAACCTTGATGGGAAGCCACTGAGGGCCTCCGCCAAGACCTTCGTTTTCTTAAAAAAATGCTTTTGGGTTTAAATGGTCTAACTTCTAATTCCTGGGAGTTAGCGACTCTGCTCCTTTGGAATTTATTCCGAAGCACATCTCTTTTTTTCTTTTTTCTTTTCTTTTTTTTGGCCTGCTCCTGGAAAACAATCATGATCTCTGGAATATAACTTGGTTGCAGTAGAAAGCGGTGCTACTATAACGCTTCCTGTGATCTTGAGGCAGCCTTGAACCCCACTGGCTTCTATTTGGCATGGAGAAACAGCAGCTGAGGGGGACGTGCATGAGATGGAAAAAAATGAATAGGGAAACATTCTTTCTCTCTCCCCCCCCTCTCTCTCTCTCTTTCTCTCTCTCCCTCTGTCTCTCTGTGTCTTTCTGTCTCTCTCTCTCTCTCTCTCTCTCTCTCTCTCTCTCTCTCTCTCTCTTTCTTTCTTTCTCTCTCTGCCTCTCTCTCTGTGTCTGTCTGTGTGTGTCTGTGTGTGTGTGTCTCTGTCTCTGTCTGTCTGTCTGTCTGTCTCTCTCTCCATTAGGATCATTCAATGAAAACTAACTGAAAACAAAATTAGAGGAGGTCAAAGAAAGCTCTTCTTCAGACAATACTTATTACAAATGAAGGCAAATATATGTGTCCCAGGATAATGTTGAAGGACCCAATCTGACTCAGTCCACGGGACCAGAGGTTTAGTCTTCTGAGCTTTTGGACGCGTGCTGGAGCCCATTCTCAGAGAGAAGTTCTCAAGGAAAAGAGAGAGAAGATCCCCAAGGATGGGCTCCAGCATGAGTCCGAAAGCTCGGGAGACTAAACCTCTGGTCCCCGTGACCGAGTCAGACTGGGTCCTGTAATACTTAATTAAGTTGTGGAACTGATCCCAAGATATGGTGATGGCCCCAAGTTACATGAAATTCAAGGTGGGCTGCTGAAATTCATCAGTTGGCTGCTGATTCTGAAGACTCTGTATATTATTCAGTCTCCCAGGATTATCTGTCTGACTTCTGTGAGGAAAAAGATACTTGGCTTGATCCAGAAGGCCCGTCCTTATCATCTCAGTGCTTCCCATTTCTTCCCCGGAACCCAGGAAGCACTAACGGTGTTAACAAATAGCACTGATGGGGTCCCTTCCTAGCATGCTTGTCCAAGAGAAAGCCTCCAGGTGAATTATGAGTCTCATCAGTAAAAACAGGTCCTTTGTGCCTTTTCTTACGATAAAGAGAAGCATTTTGGGAAGCCTGATTGTGGTCTAAGTCCATTTTACATGCCATGTTAATGTTAACATCATGGAGAATTCAACAAACAGCTAAGATCTGGTAACCAGAATGTTGCACAACTTTAAGGCCATCCTTTAAGCCAGGGGTGGGGAACCTGTGGACTTCAATACCCAGAATTCCTGAGCCAGCAAACAACAAACGTTAAGTCCCCAGAAACAGCAACGCCAGAATAAACCCGTATTCTCCATAAAGTGGCCTGGTGAGCCCCTTGAGCCCTTCTCTGGGTCTAAGAAATCAGGGGGGCCTAAGGAATAGAGGGGAACAGAGATCTTGTATCTACTTTCTGTTACCTGTCTCTTGAGGGGGAACTTGGAGACTTTCTGGACTGCTGTGGCATTCATGGCTTTTTTGGCCGGCCTTTTGATTTTATAAATCATCACCATCACGGCCACCAGGATGGAAAGAGCGAAGGCAATCCCGTAGCTGAGGATGCCGGCGTAAAACGAGCTGGAATCCTGTCTCGCAACCCGTTTTTCTGCTGCAGGAGGAGAGACGCACTTTAGGAACCAGGAAAATGGCAGCCTAACCATATTCTGATACGTTTCAATACAGATCATCCCCAATCTAAAATACACAATGGCACAAAATGCTCGTGGCACAGCACTAAATGGCTGTCATCTCCAGATTTCTTTAAATTTGGGGGTCGACCCTGGTGCGGAAGGGTTCTCAACCAATGAGACGTGAAGGTCTCTCTTCTGAAAATCTAATAGCTTTCTCCGCTAGATCCTTTATTTAGGAGCAGCCATTTAAATACTGTATCAACGGATGTGTTGTCATTCAAACGTAATTAACACGCACAGTAACGCCAAATGACTGTGAATTAAAAGAATAATGCTGAAGTGCAAACTGTCAGTTCGTGTTGCAGCACTGAACGAGAAACGTTCTAGCGTTTCTGAGATGAGTTGGCAGCCAGCAGACTTTGTGGAGTTGGGGCTGAGAGTGGCATTGTTTAATTTGGGGTTGTGTGATTCATTGGCCCAAATCGTGAAAGCTCCTCCCTGCCGAGAGACACCCCAAGGCAGAAGAAGGGGTGGGGGTGGGGATGAGCCAGCAGGCCCTTCATCAGGTCCACCTTGTGAGAAATCGGCTACGGAGGCTGAGAGCCACAAGTGACTCACAGAGCTTCCCAGAAGGAGTCTTGTCTTTTCCAACTCAAGTGTGGGCGCAATTCAGCCAGTGAAAGTTGGAATCCAGTAATAGGAAACTACTCCATTAGGCTGGGCATTTAGCATTCAGAAACGCTCCAGCTTGTAAGTGGTGTGGAACAAAGACTTCTGAACTTCTCGGAGGCCCCCTCCCCAGGAGAGACCCCAAAGTCACAATGGGCTTTGCAACGGTTCAGCTGAATCTGTGGCAGCCGCTGTCTTCTCACACACTTGTGGCTGTCTAAATATCAGTGCTGCACCCACAACAGTTCTGAAAGAGGCACCACCAGGGCTCCCCAGATGGAGAAAGGCTAATAATTCGCGCTTACTCCAGAGTAGAAATGTGTCATTTATCGCCACTTATAATGAGTTGCATGAAACGAAATGTGTTTTTGGTGACTGAAGATGATCGTCCCGTCTTGAAACGCAAGATGCACCTCCCGCTCAAGAGCTGCACCTTGCCCTTTAGAGGCAAAAGGGGGGAAAGGAGACCAAGCAGAAATACCTGGTAATACCGTCAGCCAAGCAGAATGATGTGAATAACCAATAGAATTCCCCGCCAGGCAAGTATATTCCCCAGCGTCTTCAAAAGTAACATTGTGCAAGGACAGAATTTCTAGCTCTTTATCCGTTTTGTTAACACCTGCTGTCTACGGAGGAAAGAACAAAACAAAAAGAGAGATAGGAAGGAGGGAAGGAAGAAGGAGAACAGGATAAGCAAAATTCCCAGAAAAGATCACCCAGACAAATTTCAAAAGCAGGCGGCGATCGGAAGGGCCTCTGTGGCCTGTCCTGGTTCCCTTCCACAACCACAGTTGTTTTCCAAAGCAATCAGATCCCTTCACCAGCCTCTGACTCTGTCCCACTAAGGATGCATGCAAGCCAAAGCGTCCAGACGAAAAATCCCCTTCACAAGATGACTGTCTGGGGGGGGAGGGAGGGCGAGGAGGGGGACGGAGGGGTGGAGAAGGGAAAGAGGAGAGGCCGAGACAAGCAGGGAGGATTCAAGGCCAGGGGGACAAACGTGGCTTTACCAGAAAAAAAGCTTTTCATCTTTTAAAAATTTGCAGAATTCATCCAGAGATTGGGGGGGGTGTTTGCCCCCCCATCCAGAAAGCCCTTGCTCCTCTTAGATCTGTTAGGAAGGTTTCAGTACATTTCCTGGCCCATTTTTTTTGGGTGGGGGAAAGGCACTGAAACGGAAGAAGGGCTCCATATGCGCGTGGCCTTGGTGGCGCAGGGCCTCAATGGGAGCGCCTGACAACGGCTCTCCCGAAGTGAGCTCGATGAATCGTGAGAAGAGGAGACGGAGAACTTGATCAGGCAAAGAGCCGGTTAAGAACACAACCGGGAGGAAGAGGCGCTTCTAAGACAGTCATTAATGTGGGAATTTTTCTTAGCGAATGATTCATAAAAGCGTTTCGTTATTCTAAAAGTTAGGGAGAAAAAAGTCAAAGACGTCGAGGAGAGGAGAAGGGGGGGGGGAAGCACCCCAAGAGGAGCAGGAATGATAACGACTAGCAGTTGGGAGCTTTTTTTTCGGCTCGTTCGTGCAGCTGCGAAGCCTCTGGGACAGAGTTGAGGAATTACCTGCTTCTGGTTTGTGAATGTGGAGCCAAAATGATTTTTCGGCTCTGCCTATGAAATTGTTGGCTCTACAAAGATATTCGCCTTCGTCTTGTTTGGTCACATTGAATAGATTTAGGTTAACATCGGCTTCAGCGTTTTTACTGATCCAAGACTGCAGAACAGACAAAAACTTGAACTTCAGTAACCCAACAATCTCTCTCCGTCACAGGTTAGACAGGCAGGGCTGGCTAGCTCTCACTCGGCTTGGCTTCACTTTTTGGTAGAACTTCCGTGCTGGAAGAGGACGGCTCCTTCTCTCGCTGCAAGAGACCACCTTGAAGCCCTCGAGAGAGAGAGACGGTGGCTGGGTCTCCTGCTTGGAGCTATCCAGGAGGAAAGGCCCACCTTCTCTCCACGCCAGGGGTCTCACTGCCCCAGGGGTTTTGCCCCTAAGAAAATTCCCCCAATTGGAACCTGCCTTTGGATCTCTTGGATCCAATTTCTTTTTTTTTCAAATTCTGCACTCTAGCATAAGGGAGGACTGGTCTTGATATTCTTCTTTGAGGGGTCCTATTAGACATTTGAAGGGGGATATCCTAACCCCACCCTCCATCTTCTCTTTCCAAGGCTCAGCAGGCCAACCCCACTCTTCAATCTCCTTCCACAGCCATCCATGTCTAGCCTTCTCTTTCCCTCACTGTCCTTCTCCCAATGTCATTGGTCAATTCTTAGGCTGCAATCTAGAGGCATTTACTGCATGACCTATTAAAGCAATTAGTGGATTAAAGAATGAGCAACACTTATTCTTGCAAAATTTCTCCTTGATAAATAATAGGGATAGAATTCAAGGTGCTCACAGAACCAATGACTTTATGATCTGTTCAGGAGCTTCTTAAGGATTGATGCCAGGCAATGTACATCAAATGATCGATGAATCGTCCTTTCCCCCTTTTTTGAAGATTAAAGGACATTTTGTATTTTCCAATGTCTCCAATTTGATTCAGAGATCAATTCATCCATGGACCAATGACGGAAACCAGCAAGGCATCATTTGGCTTTGCTAAGGAACTGCAATCCAGTGTTTTTCTAAAGCAATCTCGTCTTGCTGCTTGGTCGTGAAAGATGAAGATCCTTTCGGGAAGGCTAAGGTATTGCGAAACAGCTGCTCCCCCCCCCCAATGCAAATAATCCTTATATTAATTCTGAGTGATGGTTATCTCCCCTATCATTAAGCCTGACAAGCAGTAACGTCTTGAGCACACTAAACAGGTTCACAGTTTCAGATTTACATCCAACCTTTCCCAAAGGTGCTTTTCTAAAAGTCAACTAGACTTCTTTGGGGTTTTTTCTTGAAAACCTTTCACTTCTCATCCATGAAGCCATTTTCAAGGAAAAAACCAAGAAAGTCCAGTTGACTTTTGAGAAAACCATGTCCTGGATGATGGATGATCTCCGTGGACGTCAAGCCTTTCCCAATTTGTGGTCCTATCTCTCAGGCATGGTTATACGGTCAGTTCCTCTGCAGGATTAAACCCTGGATCTTCCAGCAGATCTCAAGGTTAATCTGATAGCGGTTGTTATGTGTGACTTCCTGTAAATACCTCCTCATCCTAGTAGATTCCAGCTTTAAAAGTATGTAACGATGTATACCAACCTTTAGGACAGACACGTAAGGAGTCCCATCCGGCCCGTATTTGCTTCCGTTGACTTCCACATGTTTCAACCACTGGATGTGAGGCTGAGCATCACTGTACACTTTGCAGTGGAATTCCACGTTGCTCCCAACCACCACCGTTTGATTGGCAGGCAGCCCTGCCTGGAGAATGGGGCGGTGTGGAGATCTTTCTGCAGAAAGGAGAGGACGCTTACTTATTATGGGCAATGAGTAAACCCCTCTAGCCAACATTTGTCCAATAAAAGCTCCCTCTTAGCACACCACGATGCTGCTGCTAGTGGTTGCAAGAGGCCTACGTAACCACAATACCAAGGTGCGATATAATATTTGCACTTGTAAGCTGTTGCTCAATTCCCATCGCTCCTGTGGAAACAAAAAGGTGGACTGAAACCGGAATGAAAAACCACAAAGTGCCTGGGTGCCTTGCTCAGTCTGGCTTCAGAAATCGGCATCCAGGTTTGCTATCATCGGCTACCATCAATATACTAGGAGTAGAATAAACCGGATGTAGCAAACTCCTCTGAAGAAGCGTAGATCTAATTTTTGAAACACGTTTGGTGAGTTACCAATTTTCTTGAGGTTTTATCAGCTGGATTAAAATGCTGTTTTAGTTCAGTCAAAGGAAATGTAGGATATAAAACTGTGGCTGCAATGGAAGCTATTATATGCAGACTTTGCCTACATTTTCCCCTCAATAAATTATCAATTCAATAAATTGTAGTATATCTTAATACACTTCCAGGTCTAGAGTATCTGAGGAAACTTATAAGAAATCAACATTTTTAAAAAATATGAATCCTCTTAAATGCTTGGAATATGTCCCGGTATTGTTTGTATCTTTAACATCTAAACAATATAAAGTTTATATTGATATAAACAGCTTATATGGACTAATAAAACTAGTTAAAGTGAATATGGCATCTGGACTGATGCAGATAGTCAGAGTAAGCCCTACTTTAATTCCTCACTGATATTTAAAGGAAATCAATAAGATATTGAGAAAGTTTTCATGGGACAGATATTTCCCATCCACCAAAAACACTTATTTATACAGAAGTAATAATTTAAACAAAGGGTTTGCAAAACAAGAGCCTTTGCTAACTGGGACTACCTCTATGTGTAGTTTTTAAAATTGTATGTGCGTTAATTATTAGGTTATTTTTCTTTTGAGGTAGAGATACAGTATAGTACTTTTTTTATTACTTGCCACCAGGAAAATCCTGCTTCCTCTAAATTCTGAAACCTGAGGTTGAAGGGGAACTAGCATTCTGGTTCTCAGACTCCTTCAATTCTACTTTCCAACTGTTTTTCCAACTTTAGAAGTGGAGTAGCCGAGAGGAATTCCTTCTTTCTTCAAGAGGATGTAGTTTGGGACAGATGGGGAACAGCTGTCCATTCTGTGAATGCCAAGTGGCACCGCATGGATCTTGGATGCAAAGTTTAAAACAACACTTACCAAGAACATCCAGTTGGTAAGTATGCCAGATTACACCGTATTTGTTCTGGACCACACAGGTGTAGTTGCCTCGGTCTGACGGAACAACACTCTCCATGACGAGACTCCACTGCTGGTGCCGCAGCTGAAAAAAGGAAAAGATCAGTAGATAGAAGCTTGCCTTGGTCCTTCAGAAAATGACTTAACAAGAACATCCTTTTTCTAGAATTGAAATGTGAGGTCCATAAAAGTGTTCTCTCTCTCCCATGTGCTCCAGAAACAGGACTAGAATTAGATCTCCTTCCTCAGTTTCAGAATGTGAACCCAACAAGACAATTCTGAGAGTTGAAGTCCACAGTATAATGAGTGGAAGATCATCAAAGGGAGATCCCAAGTTGGAACTAAGGAGAAATTTCCTGACAATGAGAACAATGAATCAGTGGAATAGCTTGCCTCCCAAAGTTCTGGATGCTCCATCACTGGAGGTTTTCAAAAGTAGACTCAACAACCAATTGATCAGGATGGCCAAAAGGCTCCTGTCCGCTCTCTATCTTCTAAAGTCGCCCATGTTGGCAAACCCTGATCTGGACTATGTTCCCTCATTTGCAGCATAAAGGTATTAACTGTGCAGATATGCTAATGAATACCCAATAGCATCTTGGCACATTCACAATAACTTTCCGTAATATCCATAACAACACTGTGTGTTTTCTTGAATAATACAACTCAACTGGATGAAAATGATGAAGCCAAGTACCATACTTGGATTTAAGTTGGAAGTTGGATTTGTGTTGGAAAACCTCACAGTTACATTTAAGGAAGTTCTCATTAACATATATCATATAACAAATCTCTCTCTCTCCCTCCCTCCCTCTCTCTCTCTCTCTCTCTCTCTCTTTCTATCTTTCTATTTATCATCTATATTTATCTTTATCTCCCTATCTCTTTATGTCTGTCTATCGATTTATCAATCTATCAATCATCTATTTATCATCTATCTAACCACATACATGCTCAATAAATAGATTACTTTCTTTCTATATCAACACTTATTACTGGTGTAACCTCTGGGTCTAATTTACAAGTTTCTAGAGCATCTGGTGCATTTCAAGAATAACCTCAAAGCAGCTTACTGAGTTTCAATAAGCAAATGGGAGGCGGGGAGGCTTATACTTACTTATCCTAAAAGGCTATCCCATCAGAGAGAAACAAAGGGCAGCTCTGGGTCTGAGTAAGCAAGATGGGTGGCCACCAAATCCCACCCACGAATGAGGACTTACTTTAATGCCTCCAATACGGTGCTCCCCTTTGAATTCTTTGCCATTTTTCAGCCAGTATATGGAAGGAAGCGGCTTGCCAGCTGCCGGGCACCGGAAACGAACAGTATTGGCAGCTGGTACTGCCAAAAGCTTCTTTTCCATTCTGTCACGGTGGGTCCAGTAAGGTGCAACTGCAAATACAAAGTAGAATGAGAGACGTCAGCTGAGAAAGATGGCAGGTCCTCAGCTACTGAGGTAGGAGGTCTTATCTCCACCAGCTTCCTATCAGGAATGGCCTTCTAAACTTTAACTGAGCAGCACCATTCAGCAGTCCTAGGTAGCATGACCAAAACTGAAGGTTGATGGAGGTTTGGAGGACTACATGTTACCCATCCTTGGGTAAAATGACCTCTCCATGTGTGTAATTAAGCATAGGATGAAGATGAGAAGAACAGGTTGAATGAATGCACCACTAGCCACTTGAAAAACCCAATGTCTCTGGAGATTCTCCATCACCCAGGTCATGGTTTTTTCTTTGAAAACATTTTGCTTCTCATCCAAGAAGCTTCTTCAGTTCTGCAGGATCCAATCTGGGTCAGTCACCAAGACCAGAACTTTTGGACTCGTGCTGGAGCTCATCTTTGGGGAACTTCTCTCGCTTCAGTTCTGACTGAAACAAAACATTTTCAAAGAAAAAACCAAGAAAGTCCAGTTGCCTTTTGGAAAAACTCCTCTGAGATGATCGCAAAGCCAAAATCACAGAAAACAAGCTGACCTTTTTCTTTTTAGTGTTGGTACAAACAAATGGGTGAACAGTAAGTTCCCTCAAGTAGAGAATTGGTCAGAGGAAAAAAGACAAGTCAGCACCTCCAGAGAAGACACCATTGCATTGCTGGAGCTGAACTGCAGACAACAAGGAAATGAAAGTTGATGGGACCGGTTGTATAACTGCCTTGCCCATACCAGGAAGGGCAGTGTTTGGTGAACAGTTACGTTGGCTCACAAGTCCTGTTTTTACACTCCAACAAATCCCACTATCCACTATTGTTAACAATCAAGTGTCAGTTTTCTCTCTTTTTGAGGGTTAATTGTTCCTGACACAACAATTAACCAGTGGAATGGCTTGCCTCCAGAAGTTGTGGATGCTCCATCGCTGGAAGAAGAGATTGGACAGCTACTTGTCTGGAATGGTGTAGGATTCCTTGTTCAAACAGAGGGTTGGATTAGAAGACCTTCAGGGCCCCTTTCAACTCTGTAATTCCATTATTTATTAAAGATATGGTCCCTAACCACCAGGAGGCTGACCATGTCTTGTCCTAGCAGTTGTCCAGTAATTGTCCAGTAAAGTCTTCTGATTAGGCATTTGTGGTGAAAGCCACTTCAACTTCATTACCGACTAATGGGCAACTCCTATCAAGCCACCCTCCTACTCAAAGGAACAAAGGCACTGAATTCTACAGCACAGCCAGGAGAAATGCTGGAAGTACAAACTATCGTGGCTAAAGGGAGAAATTCCACATTTCTGCTGCATCTCACAACTTTTATTTTCTGTCTAAAGCATTGTCAATGTATGTATATAAGAAGCGTCTCCATCAAAAGGAAGATCTGTAGATTTACAAAAACAAGCAAAACATCAGCTTTGGGCCAGATTGGCTGACCTGAGCTCCAGATGATAATAAGTTGTCCTCTTTCAGTCAAAAACTTGGAAGGGAAGCTTCTTTGCAAGAATAGGTTTGTAGCTCCGAGATCCTCTGAGTGTTTGTCTATGAATGAAGCAAATTTGTTCCCAAAGTATGGGCAATGAGCCCTAGAAGCATGGTAGTTTTTTTTTTTTTGTTTGTTTGGGTTTTTTTGCTCTTATTGCTTTGTCAAGAAGCAACTGGACTTTCTTGTTTTTCTTTGAAGACATTTCACTTCTCATCCAAGAAGAAGCTTCTTCAAAGCGAAATGTCTTCAAAGAAATCCCAGAAAGTCCAGTTGCCTCTTGAAAAAGCACCTTTGGGGCAACCGGGACCTGGATGACTGAGAATCTCCATAGACATTTATCATAGCTATCATAGAATAAAATTTCAGGCTGGGATTTCAAGTGAAAAGCTGGTACTATAATCAAACTGTAATCATGTTCCTGAGTGGACCCCATGAGTCAACAGAAGGAAATAAGCAGACCAAAGCATTCCCTTCTTCATCCCTTGGTGATCAAAGCTGAATCTCAGATGATGGACAGGAAACGTGACCTTCCTGAGGTCAGAAGGTCCTGGGGCAGAGCCATTGGCTGAAGAGGGCAGCGAATCTGCTGAGTTGGCTCCAACAGTCCCAACAAAGGAAATGTTTGGGGCAGCTATAATTACTGGCAAGGGATCTCGCTGTGGGATTTGCCAATTAAGAGTCAATTCAGAGCACAGACCCAAAGCAATTTCATGGGATGGTGGCTTCAGAGAACAATCAGCAAATGCCAGACTACATCCCCACAATGAGCACAAAGCCACGAAGATTAGCTTTGCCGGCTGGACAAAATGCTGACCACACGGACACATCTGGGCAGTCTGTCTCCGGCCCAATCGCAGAAATAACATGAAATGCCATCTGCGGCTGAGAATGTAAGACCACGCAATCTATGCTTTCTGAAGTGAATTTCCTGGCCGGAAGCCTAAGGAAAGACAAGACAAGACAAGACAAAGCACCTAGAACATCTGTAGATGTTCAGCAAACAGAGAAGAAGAACACACAGAGAGAAGATGACTAAAATAAGAAAAACACTTGGTGAGAACACTTCTTAGATGATCTAGAAAATGCTCAAAGAGGATAGGAAAGCAATTTCCTTCCAAAATCTTGTTCTAAAACAAGGATGGGCAATTCAGAGTTTGGATATGGCCTCCAGCACCTCAACATCAGACTGTCAAACCTGGTTTATCAAATGACAAGGTTTCAGGAGGGAGCGTGAATTATTTGTCCCAAGAGCCTCCTCTTCCCATTTTTATCTTTAGTATCTCTCCCCAAAACAGTTCCCAAACGTTTCCAAACTTCCAAGCTTGTCCATGTACAGACCTCTCTCTCAAAAGAACCATGGAACAAATAAACCAAGAAAACAAAATGCATTTATTTCTAAGAGTGCTCCTGGAGAAATTTGCTGACGACCAGTTGGCCAACTTGTAACAAGCGACAATGTAGTAAGAATGACTTCCTTGATTACCACAAATTGTTGGCCGGTGCTGCCATCACTGGACTTATGCACACAGTTTCTGCTAATCCACACCAACCTTCAACCTGAAGTTTTAGGTCATGTTGCTACATGTTGTACATTCAATAACTGCACACTTGTGTAATGTATGACACTGCAATCATTCAGTTTGGCTGTACCAAGTCATTACCCAGCAGCCTGAATTTTGCAAAGCAGCCCATCTCACTTGTTTTAATTCATCCCCTAGAAAGCCTTTTATTCTGAGATTTTATGCTTGCACTCTTTAAAGGGGTATTTGTACTGGGGAACTAATCTGTGTTTTTAGGTGCAAGAGACACCACAATAATAGACAGCGCCTCCTCTTTCCAGTTTTGCAAACGGTTATCATTAAGCGATAAAACTTTCTCCAGACTAAGGCTGCCCAAGCATTCTGCTAATATTTTTAAAATGAAACTTTTTTTTAAAAAAAAAAGAGATCTATGCCTAATGCAGTGTTACTCAACCTTGGTAACTTTAAGTCATGTGGACTTCAACTCCCAGAATACCCCAGCCAGCTGGCTGGGGAATTCTGGGAGTTGAAATCTACATGCCTTGAAGTTGCCAAGGTTGAGAAAAACTGGCTGGCGTAATGAATGGCTTCCTTTTCCCTGGTGACAAGGGAATAAATAAGAAGCAGAAAAGCAGGAGAAGGGAAGGGAAGGATAGGCTGACTGGGTTACTCGGCTTCCTGGCTCAGGAACTCTTTTCCCAGCTCCGTAGCTTTCATCCTCCTCTGTTTATTTCCTCCCACGGAGGCATCTGTAGACCACAGGCCATCTTGGCTTCTCCAACTGCTGCCTTCTGAGAGAGGGAGCAGGAAGCCATCTTCATCCGTGCAGCCAAGGGGCTCTCCTGTTTCTCAAAGCTGAAACTCCAGCCGATTAGCTACTCACAGGCCTGCAAACGGGTGGGGAGAGCAGGTTTCACCCCCCACCCCCACCCCCCACCCCATCCAGCAAGCACTCTGACAGAGAGAGCAGGCAATGCAGAAGGGGGAAAGAAGGGAAACATGTCTATACATGGCAAGGGGATTATTTTATCCTTGGCAAAGTTTTTCAAAAATTAATTCAAACTCTATCTACAAACTGTGGGGAATGGAGGTTGTTTTAAAATTTGGTGTTTTAAAAAGAAAAACACACAACTTTATCGACACTCGGGTCTTGCAAAACGGAAGGCCTAGAGAGATTGATGTAAACCATGGTGGCCTTACTAACTCATAACTGGCTGCTTACTATTCATCTCCTCCTTTGTGCCCTTCCTTCCTTCCTTCCTTCCTTCCCTCCCTCCCTTCCTTTCCATCCATCCATCCATCCACCCACCTGCCATCTACTTCCTTCCTTCCTTCCTTCCTTCCCATCCATCAATCCATCCATCCATCCATTTCACAAAGGAAGAAGGAACTTCAAGAAGGGAAGAGGATGGCTCTAAACTCTCTTTGGGTGTTCCTTCTGAGCAAATATTTTCTCCTGGGGGCTGAAAATCAGCACCACGGACTTGGTCTTAACACCCAGGAACTCCCAACAGAGGAAAATTGAAAATGCTTTATTGGAGGGATCTGATTCAGGACTAGCCTTCATAAATGCTGGCTCAGGAAACCAGAAGCATCGCAGCGAGACCGGCTGGAAAAATAGTGGGCTCCGATGAGCTCCACAAAAATCCAGCCGGACAAACCGCTGTCAGGGGATCTTCGGACCGGAACCAAGAGGAACAGGCAAGTTCCTCGAAAGGTCAGAGGCTGCTCTTCGAATCGGCGGCAGGGGTGGCGGCCATTGAAAAATGACCGATCTGAAGCTGGGGCAACCGGACTACGTTTTTTGTGCAGGAGCGGTGTCTGAATGGAGTGCTGGTACTGGGTGAGTGATTGGCCAACTCACAGTTAAAAAAGAAAATTTTTAATAACTTTAAAAAGTGTCCCGGAGCAGAAATGAGCAGCTAATTGGCACTTGGGAAAGTTAATGGAGGGAGAAGAACAAAGAGGAGGTTAAAATACCAAAGCCCAAGAAAGAAAATTTTACAACTAGATTTAAAATTGGATTTGGAGAAATTAAGTCTCGGGAGAAAGGCGGCATATAAATCAAATATAAAAAAAACAATAAAAGAAAAAGAAACCCGAGGGAAAGTACTTTTTATGTGGATTAAAAATATTTTTGATAATTTTCACATTTGAAGAAGAACAAAGAGGAAGTTAAAATACCAAAACCCAAAAAAGAAAATTTTATAGCTGGATTTAAAATTGAATCAAAAAGAATCAATCAAAGGGGAAAGAAGGAAAGAGTGGAAAGAGATTAGGAGAAAGCTTGGGGAGAATTACTCGAGTAATATATCTAAAAGTGAGAAAAAGGATTCAGGAGAAAAGATATAATAAATACAAAAAGAAGAAGAAGAAGAAGTTAAAAGAATGGGACAAAAGGAGGAAATTATTAAGAAGTGGAATTTTGGAGAGACCAAGAGAAAATGGTTAAAGAGGGGAAGAATAGGGGAAAGGAGGAAGGTAAATAAGATATATATTAGTAGATTTAAGTGAACTATTAATATTGTGGATCAAATAAGTTAAAGGGTTTTAATGTAAGAAGTGAATGTGATGATGTATACTGCTTATAGCAAAACAGAATAGTAGATGAAATGTGAAATGGCAATGGGGTTTAATTATGAAGACAAGTTAAATTAAGAGACAAAATTGAAATGTTAAAAAGTGGGAAGGGGATTTTGAGATATATATTTTGCAAATGGAGAAATAAGATAATTAATTGATGTTATTGTAGGAAATTAGGAATTAAAGGGCGGATAGTGAACTCATTTCATTTCATTTATTAAATTTTTATACCACCCCTCTCCCGAAGGACATACTGTTTATGTATTATGTATTAAGAAGAGATTAAGATAAGATAAAACAATGTGGAAAAAGAATATTATAGTCGAAATTGGAAATATGTAAAATGTACTTGGGGAAAACAAAAAAAAGAGATGAAATAACAAGATATGGTGAAAAATGAGGAATTTGTGATAAAGATTTATATAAAAGGGATGAATTTGGAAAAAGCGGGAAGATTGGAATAGATTATAAAAATTAAGATATATAAGATGTATAAGATGTGATCCGGTCAACACTCTCTTCATAAAATACGTACAATAAAAGAAAATTTTTAATAAAACTTGTTTACAAAATAAATAAATAAATAAATGCTGGCTCTATCAAGCTTTGCTTCTCTTCGTGATATTTACCTCTGTCTTCAGAGTCGTCATCTTCATCATCATCTTCATCTTCATCATCACCCGATGATGGGGATTCTTGGAATGGAAAGAAAAACAGGTGAGAATTGTTTCCGAAAATAACATTCTGAACATACTTTTGCAATCATCAGAACATAAAATTAGTGGGACTTCAGCAAATATTTTCTCAATTAAAAAAGATCTTCTCCATGAAGCTTGATTTTCTTCATGGCCTCATCACACGTCTCCAAATATGGCCAAGATACAAAATGTCACCAAAAATGGATTTAAAGCACAGAGTCGTCCGCAAGCAGGGGGTTGGACTAGAAGACCTCCGAGGTCCCTTCCAACCCTGTGTTTTATGTTCTAGCCTCCCCTGGCCTGTGTCTTAGAGGCCACCTTTGCTTTTGAGCCCATATTAGACTGAAATGCTTCCATTCAGGGTTCAAATCGGCCCACCACGTTCTTTTCCTACCCATTTCATTTTTATGTTTTCATTCCCCCGCTATCCTCTTTTCCCCTTCTTCTCAGAAAACTGACTGCACAATGATAGCCAGCTCCCTGCCTCTCACAGCTTAGAAAAGCAACCTACAAAAGAATGGAATAAAAAAGGCACAATAAAATTAAATCAAAATTATAAACATTCTAACTCACAAGTTGTTCAGTTAGAGATTTTCCGTTTGGTTAGCATATTGTTGTGATTTGGCTTTCCAAATCTGGAATAAGCTTTAAATAGGGGTTGGTTTTTTTTGTCCGTGTTCAGCACAAACATTCTTTTCATGAAGAAAACCCCGCAAATGAAATGCCAGGATACTCAGTCCCAGATTTCAATCTGTATTGTCGCCTGAAACTCTTTTCTACAGCTGCCTATTGAGAACATGTGAACGCGCTTGCTTACAGAGGCTTTGGAAATATTTATTAAGAAACCTCAGCGTTCCTAGGAAGGGTGTGCCAGCAGTATATTATTTATCTAGTATTTCTTTTCTCTCTCTGTACGGTCACGGTTGCATTAGGTCATACAAAGTAAAAAGGCTTCCAGGGAGCATTTTTTAATTAAGCATTATTTTTCTCGGTTTGAAACAGTCATTTAGAAGCTGAAGCAATTTAAGCTTCATTAAGATGTACTTAAAGTCCTGGGGAACTCCCCGCTTTGGAGACTGGTGCTACCAAAAAAGGAGATTTGGTAACCTAGATAGGACAACTTTTATTTTTCTGTTCTTTTGCCTGGGACTGTAAGTTACCTCCCCCCCCCCACTCCATGCAATGTAATGTTTGATCTGCCTACACCAGAGGCTTCCTCTCCGTAGAGATCAGGTTTCAAGAGGAAAGAGAGGATTCTAGGTTGGTTCCGGATCTGCAAACCTTCTGATCAGTCCTGCCTGCCTGGGCTGCTTTTGAATGGCGGTACAATTTTGCTGCAAAACGTTTTGGAATAGTTACAGTGGCGGTTGGTGAAAAACAAAAAAGAATTTTAATGAAGCGACTAACGGGTAGAAGATCATTAAAGAGAGATCCAAGCTAGAGCTAAAGAGAAATTTCTCAACAGTTAGAATAATTAATCAGGGGGACGGTTGGCCTCCAGAAGTTGTGGGTCCTCCTTTACTGGAGGCTTTTAAGAAGAGACGGGACAACCATTTGTCTGGAATGGTCGAGGGTCTCCTGCTTGAGCAGGGGGTTGGACTAGAAGACCTCCAAGGTCCCTTCCAGCTCTTATTCTGTTATTCTGAATTCGGCTGCCCTAAAGATTTGGAAAAACAAAATCCAGTAGATTTGATGACATTGCTCACTCTCTCAATTTCTCAATTGAGAGAATTTCTCAAGAAAATTGAGAAATCTGTGAAAACAAAGAGCCCTTCCCCCACGGAGCCGATAAAGTGATTAAATCAAGACTTGAGTACATATTACGGGCGGCCTTCCTGCTATCTTTCACGTCTGAGATCCTGGGATTGTCCCACTCAGCTTCAAGGTCTTTGTTCTGTTCCTGGTGCTTATCTTCTTCCCATTCCTGTTCACTTTCGAGGGAGTCAGGCGGATCATGAGCGAATCCATGTAGTTTTGGCATGGAGCAACATGGAAAGAAGAGGGAAGGCAGACTTCCCTGCGGTTTCTGCTGACAGATGTGTTCTAACCCAAGCGTTAGAACCAAAGCAGCAGAAGCCTTCAACCCACAGGGCCATAAGTCCCCATGGGAAGCCTCCTCGTCATGGGTGGGCAGGATTAATTTATGAACTGGGTTATCTTGGTATATGGCAAGGGTTCCCAACCGGTGAAAGTTCTAGCTGTCCGGACTTCAACTCCCAGAATTCTCAGCACTGGCCACCCCGAGTGTGGAACTCTGGGAAGTAAAGTCTGCGTGAGTAGAAGTTATCCTGGCTGGGAAACACCGGTGTAGGGCATCAAAATGTAGATGATGGGTTGCACAAGGCTATAAAATAGTGGTGGGACATCAGTTGGGCAGTTGTGACTCCTAAAATGGCCCCATTATTGATCTGCTCTCCATCTTCCTTTCTTTCCTGGAGATTAGAAATGGATGGACAATGGGTGCTTTGAGACAGAGGACACCCAAAGAGATGGATTATCCATTTATCCCTCCACAGAAATGTTCCCACCCCCCCTTTTTTAAATGCCCCCAGGGACTCAGATGGAGGAGTTTTAAAAGTTGTAAATTAAACCAAGAGGGTATTTCCTACTAAACTCCACATTAAGCAACTACTGTGTGTTAAATATTAATTTGATTCAATCCTTTGCACATTGCATGAGATACATGGTGCAGCAACAAAACAGGATTTTTGGGGGAGGGGGGTTATGACTGCGTGTTTCCACTGTCCAGCACTGCTCCTTGATGCCGCCTCTCCAATGAAATGTGGAAAAAGCCTTTATTTACAGTCCCAAAGCTGCTTGTTCAGCTATGACTTTTCAAGGATCCAAAATCATTTATACAGACCTATTTAAGAAGCCAGGGAAACTCATTAAAAGCAGATTATGCTAATGTAAAGCTATTGGTAGCAGTTGCAAACGGAGGGATTCTCCAGGGCACCCAACCCTCCTCAGCCAGGCTCCGAGGGCAGCACTCAGGCCAAGGGGAAGCAGTGTCCTCCTCACTTTCCTTCTGCCGCCTGACTTTTTACAAGATGGTTTTCAATCAGAGGCCTTCAAACTTGGCAGCTTTAAGACTTGTGGACTTCAGCTCCCAGAATTCTCCAGCCAGCAGAGCTATTCTGGGAGTTGAAGTCCACAAGTCTTAAAGCTGCCAAATTTGAAGGCCTCTGATTTAAATGTTTAAAAAGGAAACATCTGTCTGAGGAGGTATAGGGTTTCCTGCTCGAGCAGGGAGTTGGACTAAAAGACCTCCAAGGCCCCTTCCCTTATTCTGAAGCACCAATTTCAGCACAGCCCCAACCACATCCTCTCAAAATGAACAAGATGGCCAGCTGAACGTAAATTCGGGTGATCCACCATAAAACCTCCCCTCTGCTATGTACTACAGGGGTGCCTTATATCCAGCCAGGCCCAGCAGAGAATCTGTTTTCTGAATAAGCAAGGGACGGGCATGTTGGAGCCTATGTGTGAGATCGCTAAGGAAGACCCTCGATGTGTCCACAATGGTTGTTTGGGTTCACGCGACAACAAAGTTGGGCTTTAGCCCTGGTCAAGGTTGAGGCTAGAGTCTTGACCTCAGGCTGTTGAGGGCTACAAGTCCCCTGTTCGACTTCAGCCCTCCTGATGCTGCCTCTCCTTCTTTAAGCAGCTGACACTCTGAAAAACTGCAGGCAGCCGAAGAGACTTTGAGCTCTGAAGAAATGGTGGGTTGCAAATAGAGACACATATTTCTGCCTCCACTCTGGGTTTGGTTTCTCTTCAGATTGTATAAATCTTCTTCATTCAGCGGCAACAAAGGGTTTTGGCTCCTGGTTTGTCTCGCACCATTTACCAAATATATTAAGCTACTGGATGCTCCGGTTCCAATCCCTCTTGGCCTGAAGACTCAATGCGGGGCCCAATCGTTTGTCTAAACAAGGAACTGAAGTGTATATATGCCTCTTCATTCTTTCTGCCTCATGTCTTCATTCATAAACAGAGGACTGTTCCCTTCAATAGCCTTCACGTCGCCTGCAGAATGCAGTTTAAGGCAGAGAAAGAGCCCGGGACGTGGCTTAACTTTGGCTTAACTTTGGCCTACCTCAATTCATAAATCTTACATTCAAGGGAAGTCTCTTTTTACAAGATTTTATGCCACTTTGTAAAGGATAAGAAGGTAAGAGACTGGGAAATTAAACAACCCCAAAATCTATGAAAGAATGCATAAAGGTTTTTTTTGAACTACAAGGCTTAGTTATTCTCACCTTTAAAGTTCAGGTCCTATCTCAATATTTTATCATTTGGAGTCTATTCGGATTCACGTCATTGGATTATAGCAATAATTTTCTTAGTTATGTATATTAAAAGTTCAGATTGTTTTTTCAGTCTTTTGTTTTCACTTGGTATGCAAATTCTTAGGACTCATTCTCGACTGGTAAGTTTGAATAGAATAGAATAACAGAGTTGGAAGGGACCTTGGAGGTCTTCTAGTCCAACCACTTGCTTAGGCAGGATACCCTATAGCAGTGTTTCTCAACCTTGGTAGCTTGAAGATGGGTGGGCTTCAACTCCCAGAATCCCCCAGCCAGCGCTGGCTGGGGGATTCTGGGAGTTGAAGTCCACCCATCTTCAAGCTACCAAGGTTGAGAAACACTGCCCTATAGCATGACTTGATTCCATTTTAATGCAAATGAATGAAGAAGTATTCCGATGATCCAGGTATCTTCTGAGTGATTGGGGAAAGAAATAATCTGATGACACTGAATTTAGCTTCTGGAGGAACTGACAGTGTGAAATGCCCTCCATTCATTCCACAAGAGTACTTGAAATCAGTTGAGAGAACAATGAGCCTATGGAATAAAGAAGTTTTAATCTAATCAGGCTGAACTCCTGAGACGTTATTGGAGTTCCTGCTGGGTTGGTGATCAGTTTCAATACTTGTGCAATAATGCAAATTTATGTTGTAAACCGAAACACTAATAAGAAATATATAATGTTGACCCTTTTACCATGAAGAGCTTTCATTACGGGGTCATCTACTTCTTAAAATAGCAGGTAAATATTTTGGGGAAGGTAAAATGACTTTCTTATTTTACTTTGCATCATGTAGATTTTGAAGAAGCTTTTTTAAAATGTGCAGAATTAAAAAAGAAAGAGTTTGATTCAGACTGTTTCTTGGCAATTAAACTCAAACTTTTCCTATTCAAATTATTTGCATCAGGTTACGGACAAATTATCTGCGGTTCCTAAACCAGTACCCTTTTTCAACAGTAAAGCAATAAAAAGTCCTATTTCATTAATGAAACTGATTACTAAAATTAATAAACCACCCTGTAATTATTTACACGACCTCCAGAACAAGGTTATTAAAATGCCCTGCCCTGGTAAACACATGAAAGAATGCTTGAAATATCATGAACTCTACAGTCTTAAAACAATAACTGGTTTGTACCTACAAATTAGGATATCTTGGAGAATGTTTGGTAACGGTTTGAATGTGCTCCTGTGGAATATTTTTATGATCCCTGCCGTGTTGCAATGGGAATAAAAAATAGGATTTGAATAACATGTTCAGACATCTACCCTGAATCCCTATTGCCTTCCTTCCATGTTCCACAGTGCATTCCACAACCTGCATGGACATAAGCCTAAATTTAACTTATTTTAGCTTAGAATTCAAGGGTGCATAATGTGACATTCCAGGTGCAGGGTATGCTCCTGGCATCTTTTCCAAAAGTTGCTCTTGAATGCTGCTTTTTAACATGCTGAAGGGGAGAAATATTACAGATGCAAAGGAGAATTACATTAACCCACCTGGCACAGAGATTGTATGTTGGACTAACAGATTGGAGACCCCACCCAAATTACACCCACAGCCTTGAAGCTCACCAGAGGCCATCATTTCTCAAACCCAACCTATCTCACAGAGATAAATTAGGAGGAGACAGGGCTACTATTTTGAATTCTTGGAAGAGACATGGGTTAAAAATCCAATCAATAAAAACAAACAAAAATGAAATTGATGTAATTCAGTTCCAATCCTGCCCGTTTCTGGGTCTTTGCTCCTTTACTTACTAAAATGCATTCAAGCAATTAAAAAAAAACTGTACACTCTACTGTCACTCATAGAAAGAACCGACTTTATCCGAGAGCATGTAAGAAATCTATATATTAATCCTTTGGATCAAAGCAGAGTTTGACCAAAGTACCAACTCACATCGCTGGGGTAAAACTCTTCAAAAACAAGCCTTTAAGTGGGATCAAGAGACTTGTGCGAACACAAACATAAGGAATGGCAATAACCTCTATTTACTGTCAAAAACTAGCTGTCTAAAGGAACCCAGACTTACCAGTAAGAAGCGCCATACACAAAGTGAAACAATAAAAGGATTAAAATTCACAAAGAGGTAAGGGAACTGGTTAATCTGAACTCTGATGCAGCCGGATTGAACAAGTGTAAATATTTAACGATTTGGAAGCCTTCAACACTTTGCCCTGTAAAGCAAAGCCAATTGTGCATTTTTCTTCAGACAAATCCGCCAATAAGAGGCAAACTTTCCCTTCACCAAACCTGCCAGGATAATTTAGCATTAAGGAGGCTATTAAATCTGTGTGTGAAGCAACAGAAAAAGGGCATCACAACAGAACAGGCATAACAGGCTCGATATCTCCAGCTGGCACAGCCACAACGGATCCTGTATTCAAATGTTATTGTGTCTCTCCTCTCCTCAACGTAGATGATACAGTCCTGAATCTTGCCAGGGTGCAGCAGGCACTCCAGCACAGGACATGTGAAATGTTAATTAGCCAGCGAGACTGAGCGGCCTTTCATAGAGACCACCCTGGCAGGCAAAGACAGGTTGTTTCAATAGCAAGTTGGAAGAGGAGGGAATCCAAATGTTCAATTGAAAGACCATCAAATATCTGATTCAATGGTCCTCCTCTGGCTCCGGATATGGAGAACCATTTTAAGAGTCACCAGGGAACCCTTATTGAAGGCAAACTTTGACTGAGACCTGAGGTGGAACTCCAACATTTGTGACCATCCCATAACAAAACTTAAGAAGAGATAAGACTGACAGGACTGTCTTACCTGAGGGTGGTTTTCTTGCAGATGTTTCATTACCCAAACTAGGTAACATCATCAATGCTGGTGTTACTAGCTAGTGATGATGTTACCTAGTTTGGGGAATGAAACATCTGCAAGGAAACAACCAAATTCAGAGCATTAAAGACCCCACAGTCCTCCTCCCCTCCCCCACTTCTCCTCCTCCTCCTCCTCCTCTTCCATTCTAACACTGATGATGTTTCCTAGTTGGGTCATGGAACATCTGCAAGAAAACCACCAAGCTCAGAGAGCACCAACGGGCCCTCATTTCAACCTTGAGTTACAAATATTCTCCTTTATTGCTACTGACTCACCTGTAACTCGAACCGTAAAGTTCCTGAGCATTTCCACCGAATGCCTCTTCTTACAGCTGTACAGGCCTGAATCATTGTAGGACACATTTATAATCCTCAAGAGTTTTTGACCAATGTGAGTCCGGTTGGTAGGTAAAATCCCAACGCCGTCTTTATACCAGAGGAGGGATACAGGTGAGTCCGGAGTATTGCACTGAAGTTCAACTGCATCACCACTTCCAACCACCAACTCTTCCAGGAAACCCGTTTCACTTCTTAAATCATCTGCAAGAAAGATTTTTTTAAAAAAAGATCATCAGGTTCTCGAGCTGTTGAGATACATTAAATCAGATTATACAGTAGCATTGATTGTGTACCATCATAAGAACATTGACTGATTATGTCCTATCATGTCCATGTTGATTCTTAGCAACCATACAGGTAGGTAATCTCCAGGATAATCCAATCAGGTCACGGGGTAAAGATCAGTATGTAGGTGAGCTTCTCTCCAAATGATTTTTCACAATTTTCTTTTTAGCTAGCTACTGGCTTCCAAGAAATCTTTGGTTGCTTATTTAGAACAATCAACCAGTGGAACAACTTGCCTCCAGAAGTTGTGGATGCTCCATCACTGGAGGCTTTTAAGAAGAGACTGGACAGCCACTTGTCTGGAATGGTATAGGTTCTCCTGCTTGAGCAGGGGGCTGGACTAGATGACCTTCAAGTCCCTTCCAACTCTGCTATTCTGTTATCATTGCATCCGCTCATTTTGCTTCTCACTTAAGTCCTTATCTGGATTTTTAAAGCTCTTATTAGCCAAACCTGTACACACTGCACCTCCCTTCCATCTTCCAAACCTGCTTCCTAAAAACAGCTCCATCATCCCCTTCCTCATTCCTCTGGTTGCTATTTCCTATCTTCTATACTATAAATTGCTTTTCCATTCCAGGGTTGATCTGCAGAACGTATGCAGCATAAGGAATATGATTCTCAGGAATACAGGAACGGCTTTTCTCCCCATAATTAAAGAATTGCCTCTCAAGCATGCATTCCAGAAATCCTGCGGTCCATCAGATTGATCAAGAATTTCAGTTACCAGGCTAATATGTCATAGGGTAACGTAAGGTTGAGAAGGATCCTTGCCTAACATCCCAATGGCAATATGCTAAATAGTATCACTGTTTAATTACAAGTGTGACCTTGTGTGTTTTGTTTTTTTTTCATTCATCACTTCCTGAAATTCTACCTCTGGACACACGATCCTGCTTTTTACAATACGTTTTTCAAGATAGGTAGTCAGTCTTTGCCCCAGTTTCAGTGAAAGTGAAACAGTGGAAGAACAATACTCAACAGATTTGAAAATCTCTGCATCACGGATAGTAAAATTGTCCTCCCAGGAGATTACAGGTTGCCTGCAAATCTACCACATTTCTCTATAAGAAAGCTGGATATTTTCCTGTGCTAATCTTCCATACTAACTCAAGAGACTACGCATTAGATTGGATCAGACTTCAGCCAGAGCAACACAATCACAATCCTCTTTCCGGAGTTCTAGTTTTGGCTCCTGAAGCATTTTGTATGTTCTCTGCATACCTCATGTTAGTAGATGTTTATGGAGACCAGAAAGTCCAGCTACCTCTTGAAAAAGCCCCTTTGGGACTCATATTAGTAGGATGGCCAAACAACAGATATGAACGCTTATGATTTCATGGGTGCTTTGTCCTGAGAAGTCTTATACCACATGGAGCCTTCTCTAAAGTTCTCCTCAAAAGTCCCTCTTCCAAGCAATCCATGGCCTGGGAGGAGGGAGGGGGGTGTTGGGAGACCTCCCTTCCAGGTGTGTCCAGGTGTGTGGATCAATTGCAGATACTCATCATGGAAAAGTATGGCCAAGAGTGAAGTCTGCCGCCATTTTTCCTCACACCTGAGGCACGTGGACCAAACGCATGGAAGAGTCCAAATGTTTATTGATGCAATGGCACAGAAAGCAACGGGCCAGAAAAAAATGTAATTTTAAAACATCCGTTAGAAGTTTTGCTCTCATGTTAGTGACTTGACAGTCCCAGAGAGAGCGAAGGTGGGGGGGCACGTTTGTGTGGCTGGCTGTGGTCTCAGTTTAGAAGGGCCCCGTTGTTCTTAAACTCCGTTTCCATAATGGTTTGAGACAAGATTTAGCGCCTACCGTCTCTCCTCAATTTTTCAGTCCTCAAAACGTGATTAACAGGCTTGCTTGCTCTGTGCCACTTTGCAAAAGGGTTTTTTTTTTTCCTTCCCCCCTTCAGCTAGCAACTCTGCAGATAAATGTTCTCCATTCTTATGGGTCTGCCTGCCCTTTTGTCCCCCCCCCCAGATTAAATCTTCCCTTAAAACGGACAGCTGGCCTCCAACATCTCAAGATGAAAATGCAGGATGCTGCAGGCCCCCCCCCCTCAAAAAAAAGCTTCATTAGAAAAAAAAAACAAGAACAAGCTTTGGATCATGCAACAAAGGACACAATGCCCAAACTTTTGCTTGGCAAGCTAATTAAAACGGAAGCCACCACGGTCCAGAGCCAACATCTAGGGCCAAACCAGGAAAAGGGGGCCGGGAGAGAGAAAGAGCCAGGGGGCTTAACTCCATTCAAAAACCAGCTACCAACAGGGATTATGCTCAGGGCACATTAATTGTCATTCCAACTACAACCGTCCTACTTTCAGCTTCTGTGAAGTTTACTCTCCAGTGCACAACGACTGAAAATCAGCATTGGTTGCAGGGCCCAGATAGCCTGCAGTATTTATTTTTTTTTCCACAGCAAGTAAAAGAGAACTTTTAAGAAGCATAAAAGCTCTCAAAAACTTGGCCTGGTTTTTTTTTTCCAGCTTTCCATCATTCCCATTCATTCCCAAAACATGTAATCTCATTGTCGCTTGAGTACATAACAGTGTTTTTATACTTGCCCAGGCACAAGAAATAATGAATCTAAAATCAACAGCAGAAGATAATAAAAATGAGATGGAAGCAAAGGGGAAACAGCGGGAAGATTTAAAATATGGAGAAGTTTCTATGCCAAGGACTAAGAGGTTCCTCTGAACACAGCATAACCTCTTTAGGATAATAAGTCCTTTGATTTCTATGCAAATCTCCTGCTGAAGGAGATGAACATCAGTTCATGCACTGATCAGCTGGTTGGTGGTAACACCTTGAGAGAAACCTCTGAAGAATTGCACCCATTCCCCCTATATATATATAGCTTAAGGTAGCCCCTAAATCTTGACCACCAAAATGTTCTGCTTTTATTCCTTTCTAGAATCTCTCATCCGGGTTGGAGGAGAACCTCAATAGTGCAGAACTTGAAACTTCCAATTCAGAAGACCACAACGAAGGGCAGCCCTGAGTGCCACCTGGGAAATTTGTCCCAAAGGTGCTTTTTTTCCCCAAAAGACAACTGGATTTTCTTGGTTTTTTTTTTCTTTGAAAATGTTTCACTTCTCATCCAAGAAGCTTCCACAGTTCTTTTTGGAAGAGAAGAGAAACATTTTTGAAGAAAAAAAAAACAAGAAAGTCCAGTTGCCTTTGGGGGAAAAAAGCACCTTTGGGACAACCATGATCTGAATGACTGAGAATCTCCATAGACACAGAGAAATGTATATTTATTTATTTATCAAAAATTTATATATCCGTTTTTCTCAAGAGAAATGTCTCAAAACCCCAAGGGAATAATAAGTCTGGAGAATCCAGATCGTTCAGGAGCGTGTACTCTAATGACCACATCTTGATCCAGGAAGGGAATGTTGGTAACTGATTTTTGGTGCCTTCCTTTCTTCAGAAGTGGACAACTCGGTGCTTCTCTAAGAGAGATGATTACCAGTTCTGCTTAAGGCTCATCTTCCAAGTCTTGCATTCTACTTTTCTGTGATTCCCAGGACAAGAACTGTGTGAGACATAGGCAGGTATGCAGACCATCTACTTTGCATCTAAAGTCAGCCATGCATGTTCTACCTGTCAGCTGAGCCTTGAAAAAGTCAGTGATAGCATCACGCAAGACCAAGGTGAGGCTTTTGGGAATATACCAACACTGGATCTGTAGCACCTTTTCCATTCTGAATCTGAATTCCACGCACCTCTGCTTTCATTCCTTGATGCAGGGTCATCTCATGTACAGCTTTAGAGTTGAATCCTTTGTATTCATTATTCTGGACTCTATAATTATCCTTGAATCCTAGCTAGTATAGGTATAGGCATGTTTGTTTGCAAGTATACATTCTTGTGGAGTTTACCTCAATGGTAAGCAACACCTTCAATTATTTCTTAGACCACCATCTCTTCTGATCCTTTCTTTCTATTACTCTTCTTTCTGCTCCACCCCAATTTCAACAACCACAATTTCCCAATTTCCTGTCTTTTAAGAAATGTCTTGTTTACATTTTGCCTTGAACTCTCAATGATAATCTCTGGGCAAACAACTGCAGAGTCCAAAGCTTGGTGCTATCAAAAGCCATGATAAAGAGGGGAGGTAAATCATTTCAAGGTGAGTTAAAATGCATACATTCCAAGGTTTGAGAAAGAAAGAAAGAAAGAAAGAAAGAAAGAAAGAAAGAAAGAAAGAAAGAAAGAAAGAAAGAAAGAAAGAATAGAATAGAAAAGAAAAGAAAAGAAAAGAAAAGAAAAGAAAAGAAAAGAAAAGAAAAGAAAGCTACCTAAAATTTGAATAAGCAAAATCTTGGAGGTGCCTCTCCATCTTGTAAAGATTCAGCATCTGTTTACCAGCAATGGCATTTCAATTTCAATGGCTTTGTTCACCCAACACACTAATTCGTGGTTAACCAAAGTAAAGTTAATGAAGTAATTCAGTTGCTTTGCACAACACAAAGAATAATAAGCTGGTTGAATAAAACACTGGGCCACATACTCAAGAACTGGGCTTTAGCCTAGTAAGTTATTCAAACCCAGCCGTTGAGAAATAGAGACCGATGAGTACGCCCGTTGCTCTCACCCTTCCAAAATTTCTTTTTTCCATGTAATTTTGGCTTTCCACTCAAGCGGTTACAACATGCCAAGGTCCACATAAGAACTTTCTGTGCTCATGTCCTGCCTCAACGCACTTCTAATTGCACAAAAGGGGGAGTCTACCATTAGATGCATTTTCAGCACAGAATTATTTTACGTACGTTCAGTTTAGCTATTGCTGGTTGACTTAACTCTTTGAAGATAATTTTCAATAATAAAAGTATTTCTGGTTTAGGTTGAGAGCCTCAGGTACTTGCAATTTATGTTTCCAAGGAAATAATAATGTAAGAAATCCAACT